CACTAACAGCAAAAGCTTGAAATCAATCCTGTATTGTATACTAAATGTCTCAACTCAAATCTACTTTGGTCTGATGTGAGACCAAAATGTACCTTTCTTACTTTTGTGCAAAATGCTGCCTGTAAAACAAACCCGTCAATGGGTCTGAAAAACTTGAGACTTCTAGAGAAGTCCATCTATCAGCAAGACAACAATCCTAAACATACAGCCACGGCTACAGTGGAATCGTTTTGATTATATGTTGGAATAACCTGGTCAAAGTTCATATTTACATCAAATTGAGTGGCAAGGCTTTGGCGATGGCTGTCAACAGAGGCTCACTGAGTTTGAGCTGCTTTTCAATAAAAAATTGCAATGTACGTGTATTCTTTTTCCAATGTCACAGCGATACCGTAGTTTAGTAGAAAAGGAAAATATTGATGGTTGTGGTTGAATAATGACAAACATGTGAAAACATTCATTGCAAAGCAAAAGTAAATATCCTCAAACAGAACAGGCACAGAAAGATGCAAGAATAAACTGGAATAAATATGGAACAATAAATAGCTATACAAAAAATGATTGAAGAAACTTGAAACTAGAACTTTGTTCTATTTTTGTACTCTTCTGCTCTCTGGTACAGGAGGAAGAGCTACAGAAAGCTTTGGGTTTGAGTGTCTGTCAATGTCATTTCTTCTTAAGATCACAGTTCAAGGCAAACAGCAAGGACACAAGGGAGACATGAGGAAAACTGGTACATTGCTGAGAGAGTGCTGGTAGGTCAAGAAACCTTCCGTAAACTTGATATTGGTGTTTATTGTGCTCCTTATATAACGGCAGAAAAAAAAAAAAATCACAAGGCATCTGAGGCCAGCAGGCCAGTAGAAAGGAGAAGCGGGAAGAGGAAAGAGGCATGTTTCTCCAAATCACATGACCAAAAGGTCCAACTAAGGCAACGCAAGTATACAATACAACACTGACTGAACATTAAACTCAAAATCCATCACTGTCTTATTAATGTTCCAAAATATTTTATGGCATGACCCAATGATTTTTTTCCAGGAACCTGAACAAAAACTCAGGTCAGCTGACTTGTAAGATTCTCCAGGTGTGGACCATGATCTGTAAAGTTTGCATTGATAAGCTCATCTAAATTTGTGTTTGCCCTCCAACCTGTTACCTTTATATATTTTGAAGCTGGAGTTTTACAAGCTTCAGCACAGTCTGGAGGATTGCAATGTTCTTCAATGTCTGTTCATTACATGCATTTGCTCACAAAGCTTAGTATAGGGAGTCTCCACATTGATCCACATTTTCAAAAATAGAATTCGTCTAAGACATTTTCCAGATACATTTTAAAGTATAAATACATACCAGTAAATTTGGAGTTGAAATTTATTTATAATGGATTTTTCTGCAGTGGTAAAACCTGTAGATAACCTGACAAACGTCTTGCAGTGCAATTCCGTTTGATTCTTATCTCACTTCAGAGCTCCATCTGGGTTTTTTTCCTCACTGAAGTGGAATCCTCTGGTAGAATTTCAGTCGGGCCAATCAGCGAACAGAAGGAGAACAGTGATGTCAGTTTTCTGCTCTGTTAGTATTTAAGTTTGCCGGTAGTTTTAGCAATGAGTGGTGGAAGCAAGCAAAGCCATTCAGTGTTGGCCATGCTTTCTGGTAAGCTTCATAGCATCAAACTGGCTTTATAAACATCTCGACCAAATGTTAGACATTTAAGACTTCGATAGAGTTTACTCCTCCAGGACGCCATGGTTTCTCAATGTCTGATAATCCAGACCGTCTGTACGAATCAAATAGTACCAGGGTAGCTTAATGATGGAACCCAAACGAAACAGACACTGGGTGGACGGATGTATCTCTACCCTCTCTGTTCTTTGGGGTACAGCCAATCAGTGTCAAAGGAAAAAGATGTTGCTCTTGGACCAAGTGCTTTGTAAATGCCAGCTAATGACATGTCAAGTAGCATTGTGTTTAGCTATTTCAGCTTCCCAAAATGTAATCATTTTACATATAATTTAGCTAAAGATTACATGTCATACCATCTTAAAGCAGGGCTTGAAGAAGAGTTGTATTAAATAGATCTACACTTACTTCAAACTAAAGAATTTGGTTCTTCATGAACTACTGGACTGAGTAATCCCTCTTGTACATTTCAAGTACAGGATGATTTCCAATTTTAATAAATGGGTGTTAATCCCACCACTCTTTTTTTCCCAGTAGAAAACACATGGTTAGATGTATATTTACTTACTGTTATGTTCTTACAGCTAATTTGGCAGAAACAGCCATTTCAGAACAACCACACTCTTTGCCTACCACATTTTATATTACTGTCTATATTAAAAAACATTCAGACAGACCATTTCATGCTCATAGATAAGAACTGCACCCTTGCTTTTCAGATTGTACCCTCTACAATGACAAACTGAGCAAACGAATCACTTTGGTGTATCAGTGCATGGGGAAACCACAGATGCCTGGAACATGTATTTGCTGTGCAGACAGCATAGTGCAGATCTCAGATAATTTTCTTTTTAAACTGCAACCACCCACAGGCTTCTAAAACTCCAGCTGGCAAGCAATCCTGAGGAGAACAGATTCTACCCCAGCAGGGGCCACAGGGATGCAGCGGGAGAGAGTAAAAGAAGCTCATTCTGTTGATTAAATTTAGTTGATTTAGCTGCTTGCCTTCTCCGGGGTGACTTGGAGCTTGGAGATTATCAACCTTTAAATGGGGAGGTCTTTATTGAGACGCTTCCCTTTTGTTACAGACGGCTTTTTATTTCTTACAGCTGCACAAAATAAGATAGCTTTCAGCCTCTGGTTGTCATGCTGATTCTCTGATACTTCTTTCAAACTCGCTCACATCTCAGTCCAGTGAACTGCATGCCAACTTGCAAAGAGGATGGCGTCCAAGCCAGACTTCTTTGGGAGGGACCCAAGAGTCATCAGCATTACCATAAATAAGATGATTCTAATTTATGTAAAAAAAAGAAAGAAAGGAAAAAAAAAGATACTGTCAATAGAGAATTTGCAAATGTTGTAATTTGTTCCGTTTTAGAATAAATGATAGTAACAACCTGTCATTGTAATTCGTCATCTTTTGTTGCACCAGGATGCATGTCAAGCCAAAAGGCTTGGTGCTTCAATTCTGTTTTTTGAACGTCACTTTGTAAAACGTTATAATTTTGCCATTTTCGTCTTGATTGCAACTTGTACTAAATAAGTCTAGGTGGGTCAAAAGCAAAAGGAAACCTCTACTGTTCCACAAGTGCAACCTGTAAGTAAGGTGCACTTGACCTAATAGTTTTATTTTATTACTCATAAACACACTGATTCACTGGATCCATGGAGAGGTCCATCTTAGCTTCATATTTTCAAATCTGAGACCTGTCCACTGCAGCGGCACAGGCCTTTTCTCTCTTCTGTCCACTTCAGTGACACTCCTGGTCAGCTGGCTGAAAGAAAAGTACTACTATTCCCTGTGCTTGCAATCACACACCAAATTCAGGTAATGAAAAACCTAAACCAGACTTTGTGCAGAAACTAAATAGAAGTTGTAGTTGTTTAACTCTACATGTGACCAATAAAGCAATTTTTTATCTTGAAGTTACTCTGAGTTGTTGAGCCGAAATTTTTAACAGTTTGCCTTTTGATGATTTCCATTCTTAAAACATAGTCATCAAATCAGTTTCAAGCAACTTCTCCCACTATGATTACTTTCTGGTTATCACAAAGAAGCCTTACCTTTTTCTTTTGTAAAGGGCCTTGAGACAACTTTTGTTGTAAATTGCAAACTGAATTGTATTGAATATTTCTTATTCAAAAATATTGTCAGTACTGAAGTCAAGCCACAGATAAAAACCCTTAGGTCAGGGGTCGGCAACCCGCAGCTCTAGAGTCGCATGTGGTATTTAGCGCTGCCCCAGTGGCTCTCTGGAGCTTTTTCAAAAATGTTTGTAAATGGAAGAAGATGGGGGTGGGAAATATATATTTTTGTTTTAATGTTTCTGTAGGAGGACAAACATGACCCAGTCATTCTTAACATTTTCCAAGGGTATAAAAATGCGTGGAATAAATATTAAATTTAAACATTTCTGATACCAAGATTAAAGTTATATCTTACATGCCCGATGTTCAGAAGCTGTCCAGTGATGTCCGTAATCAGAAATCACAATAAACTTGTGAGAACACAATCCTGCCATAAGCACATATATTTAGTAACAAAGAGGTTTTCAATTTTGATCAGTGATTTTTGTCAGTATACATTCAGAATGACACTTAGGGAAGGCTGTCTTGGTTGCGTGTCCAAAGTGAAGAGGATGCTGCTTTTACCCTTGCACTGACTTGCTTGGCATTTGCACAGAAATCAAACTTAAACTGTATTAATTTAATTCTACATACTTTACCTTTTCAAAAGGCTTCTGCTTTATTTTATAACTGCAGGATGAGTTTAGTGAACCCCGTTTGTTGCCCGGATAAGGGGCACGTTATGCACATTCCGTTCTGTTGTTTTATCTATCACACACTTTATGATGATTATTTACAAAGTTATGCAAACTGCATTTGAGAGCAGATTTTACGAAAAAAAATTACCCTTTCCCTGTTGATTTTCATATTAAAAATGACATAGAAAATTTAATTTCTTTGCATTTATTTAATTTTATCGATGCAATAAACAAAAAACATTCATATTGTAATGGAAGGTAAACTCAAAGCACCATTGTACAACAGAGTCATGTGATGCGTCATTCCTTCCAGGACACACTGCAGGGAAAATAAACATTTAATCATGAATGCTAATCATGTATACACTTAGTCATTTTAATAATATGCTAGTACAAACACTTAAAGCCTGTTTTGCCTTCATTATAAGCCTTATATACGGCTTTTAATTTTTTGCGGCTCCAGTCAGATTTATTTTTTGGGTCCAAAATGGCTCTTTCAACATTTTGGGTTGCCGACGCTTGTCCCAGAGATAAAAGATAGTCTGTACTTACTCATACACGTTCAGCTTGTAGCACTGGCCGTTCAGAAACAAATACTCCCAATCTGTCCCGTAATCTATTTCCAGCTTCTTCTGTAGATCGCTGTGAAAACAAAATCACAAAGTGCATCCCTTTTTCCCGTTACTTATGTTTCAACTGTGAAATTATATTTTTAAACATATTTAAGCAGGGCTGTTTAAGGAAGCCATGCATGTGGGAGATATGTTGAACAATAAGTCCAAACCCAATTTGTGTATGACTTTCAGTAGCAAAAATGCACAGCACAACAAAGAATGTTTAAAGGTTGCTTTAAAAACTGTTGGGTGCCTTTGAAATGTGCTGGCGGAGAGGGTTTATTTCACTTCCTGTTTCACACAGTGTTTGATGAGGTAGCCCCTTAAAGTCCCATTTCTATGCATTGTCTTCTAATATTTTAGCCGGTGAGAACTGCTCTTCTTCACTAATGGCAGATAAGGAAAGTGAGCCGTATCTCTAACGGTGCATGAGACCTCATTTAAATATTCATAACACGTACATGTGAACGGGGTTAACAAATGTCTAAGGAAGGTGATTCTGGATAAGGTAAGGTAGTGTTGGGGGATGAATCGGGGTCAAAGAAACAATGGAGGTTGCGTAACCCTATGCGCATGTGATACGCAGTAAGGGCACAGGTCGTGACATTCATGCACTGAATCATTTTATGAGTAAATTTCCCTTCACAGCATGAGAGAGGGAAAGAGAGAGAGGGAGAGACAGAGCGAGCACTTTGAATTCACAGTCATGGTGAAAAGAGAACACCTGTAATTTAGTCTGAAGGTTTAATGTGACGGGACATTGTAGAAATAATATGGGATTTACCAGGGAGTGTACATAAATATAACAATCTTTATTTATTGACAAAGACGGACCTGGAAAGGAAAGAATGTGTGAAAAACTAAGTACGCCTTTGCTACTTTAACGAGACTGAAAAACTAAACGCTAAATTAACCACGTGCTGATAACTGACTGGTCATACAGCACAGATGTAGGCAGGATGCTATCTGCTAAGCTGTGCATTAACATCATGTCGAGATGGAAAGACTTCAGCAATGACTCGGAGAAGCAAAGAGCATCTCAGAGTTTCTACACAGTGATGTTAGAGAAATATCATGTTATCATGTCATCATCAAGTTATTGCTAAACTGGGTCTGAGTGGAGTGTGCTTAGTGTTCAAACTTCATTAGGTATGACAGAATAGAATTTGTGGGTGTTTTTGTATATTGATATTCGATTTTATAAAACAAAACAAAAAACAACTGACTTTTGCATTAGATATTTGTCATTTTATTACCAGTGCTATTACAATTAATATACATTACATGGACATAGATAGTAGTCTGAATAAGAGAGACTGGCAAAATAGACCAACAATATGAACCAGATTATTATTTCGTCTTTTGCCTCATACAGGCCTTTGTTTATTGTTTAAACATCCTGACCTTTTGGTAATTGCCATTAGTGTACTTGGCACTTTCTTCTTTTATGGTAATGAGCCGTTTGCAAGCCCAAGGGGCCTCAGAAATGACTTAACCAGCCATTGCTGTTGGGCTAAGAGCTTTGTGGAAACATCTCACAGAGGGAATGTAACAGGGATAAACCTCAGAATGTCTGCATATTTTATGTTGCTTTAGAAGGGAACAAGGTTTTGCTGCCTTTCTGTTGCATGACTGTGCTATAGTGGATTGCTTGCAGTTATAAAAAAAACAACATGGGAAATTATCTCTTTAACATTCTTCTACAGTGGAAGACAAAATAAAATGAGGGTTTTGAAAAATAATCAGTTTGACGAAGTAGCAGTCAAAATTTGAAGGGTGATTTTAAGACTGTTGCAAAAAAAAAGTATGCAGGTCAAATTAAAGGTGAAAAAGATAATCATGGTTTCAGTTTTTGCATAAAAACCTGGTATTTAACCAGGCTTTGTGACACTTTTTAGTTCCTCCCTAGTGATATTAGAACTGGAGATGAAATGTATTTTACTTGAAAAAGAAAACTTAAGACTAAAAAAATTACTGAGTTTTCAATGCTAATTTGAGCCATAATTATCCTTAAATGTGCCACTAAGAATCCGTAATAACTGAAACAGAGGCTGCCGAAAGTAAGTTAAGAAAAGGCATACCCCACAGAGCACAGTAGGCAACAAATAGAGTTTGTTTATCTTCATTAAAATTAGCCTCAGGTATCACACAGTACAAATTCATTACTGTGCAGCTTTTCTGCACTCCTATAGAACAAAAGGATGGAGTCTATTTTAAGTCCTGGCTGGATGTCTTTCCAATTTGCTTACAGTAGCTAAGTGAGAAGCAAATGCATCATCCACGCAAAGTGTTCAATATTCAGCCATAACTATGTGACAACAGAAGCTAACCTCCCCCTCTAATTCTTTATTTTCCCTTACCTTATTTCCATGTTGACTGTCTCATAGGCTTCCTCCACCTTCTTCAAGTTGGTAGCTTCCCACTCTGCAGCTAGACAAAACAAAAGGTCAGACAAATTAACAATGCGGAGTTGTTGCGACTGGGCGCCTCGCGTGTTGCCAAACAGCGCTCTCCAAATATAGGGCGGTATTTATAAGGACTGCAAGAGGCTGCACGTAAACATGAGCGTGCTATTTTCAGGTGCGTTAAGTGCAGAATGGTGAGCTTATTAGCCTCTTCACACTGAAAAGTGTGCTAACTGAGACTGTGAGAGAGAAAAAACGAAGTCGGAGGGAGAGGGAGAGCTGCAGCAATTACTGCATGTTTGTCACTTTTATCTCTATCTTTCTCAGATGCACATTATGTTGTGTTCATTTAAAATATGCCTATCTTAGGCAAGGAAAACACTGTGAGGGCCCTCAGTGGGATTCAGTATCTTATCCAAGGACATGAGTGGGGACGTTGAGAATAAAAACATTTGAAGCAAACATAAAATACAAATGCAACCACTGAAGAGGAATCTGTAACCTTCAGGTTTTTTGTTTTTTTATTTCAAGATTGTTTCAAACATCTTTTTGTTGGATATGGAAACATTAGAATTCATACACATATCTGTAAATTCAACACATCTCTTTAAAACCTGTTTCAACTGGACAAAATCGCCTTCACACCAAATGTGTTTTACGCATCTGGTTTACATTCAAAGTTTATGTGGATGTAAACCACATAAACACCAGAAAAACACTTTATCTGCTGCTCAGGTCGACTGGGAATTTGACTTGAAATTGAGCGCTTTAATCACATGATTCAAAGATGGGTCTATTCAGCGACAAACATTTCAGTTAGGCTTGGTGTGAATATTGCACCTGTTGTTATGAATTTCTGTATTACCAAGATAGATTCTTTTCAAAATAAAATGAAAATGTAGTGGCCTCTGCCAGAAAATGGAAAATATCAGTAGGTCTTTCAGGGGGATAATATCCCCAAACATATGGACAAATCAACAGAGCAATGGTTCAGCAAACAGTAAAGCAACCTTTCGCCATGGGGTTCGCAGTCCTTGGATAAATCATATCAAAATCCTGTTGAAGCAAGGATGAAATTAGTCCAGGATTTTTGAAAATCTGGAGAGATTTCACAAAGAAAAATGGTAAAAGATCCATCTGGCTGTGAGCTGATGTAAAATTACAGGAGATTGTGCATCGTCTTAAATATTGGAAAGGAAATGTGGCTAAGAGTGGATACAGAAGACTGTAGTAGCTTCTATGATAGTGCAAAAATGGTTTCCATTTTGGGCATAAATGCACAACAAAGTATATATGGTGGCTGAACTATTAAAATTGGTAGAAATAAGGGCTTTTTAGAAGGGATCTCAAACACTTATAGTTTTCAACTTGTTGTTTGGGGTCCACTATGTCTTGTTGCAATACCAGGTGAATTTATCTCAAGGATTTTTACACATCTTTAATATCAGATCTGTAACCATAATTAAATCATGCTATAGTTTACTTACCTCGTAGTCAGAGATGGATTGGATTAATTAATAACAGTCAGTCGTTTATTTCCCTCCAATTTGTATTATAAGCATATTGTGACTTGGTGTGTAGGAACACCAGCACAGCAACATTTCTAGTATAATTAAATAGACAATGTTTCAGTCCTTGCTGAATTCCTGTCTTTTATTTTCTAAAAATTGCTCACTAAATCCACAAATGTACACATCGGCTGACAGCCTCAGCGAAAACATTGTGAACAACCTGTCAAAGCAAATGATACCTGAAGAGGTAAACAATCTGAAATAATGGAATATACATTAACCTCCTAAGATAGGAAGCGATGAGACAACGCTACCAGGTGACAGCCCTATAACTCATGATGCGAACATAATTGCACTCCTTTTTCATTAAAAGTGGGATCCGATTACCCGACAATAAAAGCATGCAGAACATTTGTGCCTGAGCCATGCCAGCCCTTAAATGCGAACCAAAAAGGCCTGAAAGGCAAAGAAAGAAGGTGGCTGAAAATAGAAGTGAGGACAGGCTTAAAAGACTCCAATTTAACTGCCTGGTGATGTTGGACATGTGGATTTAGTGGGGCTTCTGAAAGCGGACAGGTTCGCCGCTGACGTCGGAGGAACTCTCACTGGGGCCTGGTGCTGTGGCAACGGATAAGAATCTGCGCGTGGCAAAGAAACCAAGTGGGAAGCTGTGACAGCACTGGCCTGAATACCAATTAGCATGTTCCTTCTATTGTATGAATCCCCAAATACTACTACTTCTTTTTCGCAAAACCCGATACAGATGTGCTTTCAGATTATGGACGATTTTGAAGCACCAAAAGGAGACAGGATATTCTTCTTAGTCACTTTTAAACCAGCACTTGCATTCCCTTCAGTGCCTCTCTTGATTTTGTTTTACTCACACAGCTATCGCTAAGCTCAACAATGCCAAAAGGAGGCACAAAATCCCATGTGGGTGACATTTGAACTGCTGCTGCAGCCATTTTCTCTCTACATAACTCGAAGCCTGTTTCTTCTTACACTATCAGACAAGGACAACATTATAACCACATGTGTGATGTGACGGTAAAGTCCACTTTATCTGAAATCAAATGCATTATTAACATTGATAAGAAGGTTTTATCAACACTATTCATGTGGAGAATTCAGGACAAATGTTTTCACAGTAACACTAAGCTGACCAATGGATATTTTTCTCTCCTATACAGCACTTTACCAGAAGCTATCAGGAGAGCTGTTAAATCACAGAAGCTGTGTACAAAAATAGAAGAGGATGAACACGGTGTGTAGTGTGCCCACCGTCCCATCACCCTCCCCCCCGTTTACCCCCAGAATATCTCCTGTGTATACATACCTTGAGCCTGAGACCGAAGTTGCAGTGTTTACATGCGAGCGGATCGATAGGCGAGACAATTCCTCGGCAGCTCTAAGAAAAGAAACCTGAGAGAGCCGGTGCTACGCGCTGCCACGGCCGTGCTCGATACAGCGAGGCCACCCTTGATTCCCCATGCTTCACGCAAGCAACACACACCAAGAGAGGACGCCGACCGGCGGGTGCATGTAGGAGGGTGGTTTGTTGTCTGTTATTTAAAAGTCTGCTCTTTAAAATAATGGCAAGGTACTAAAAGCTTCCATGTCTGTTCCAGTCGACTTTTAAACACTTTCACTCTGCGCTATGTTGCAATACCCATTTTCTCTTTTGACTCCAACGTTCTCCTTGGATTCAATATTTTCAGCCTGAGCTCCTCACCTCCCTTTCTCAAGCTCCATTTTCTCAGCATCTCTCTTCAACTCAAGAGTTTGCTCTGACTGCAAAGTGGAGAGGACTAAACTATAGGCAGAGAATTATTATACCCTAATGTATAAAAGATGCAACAAATTGGGAAAGTTATTTTTTCTTTCTTTCACCGAACTAGTTCTAATTGCACAATCAAAGCACGCAGTGGCCTTTAATCAGAAGGTAGAGCCAGACATAAGAATAAAAACAAAGAGAAATGACAACAATAGGCCTTTACAGCGCTTAGCTGCTTGGGCCTAATGATGTCAGTGCCTTGTAGGGATAGGGTATAAGTGGTACTAAGACAATAATCTGATTAAAAGCCTGTAAAACTGAAAGTATTGAAGCACTGCTTAATCAATTGTTTTTAATGCACTGAAAAAAAATCTATACTGAAAATGGAATAAGCTAGTAATATTTTTGCTTGCGAGGTATAGACTGGCACATATTTATACCAAAAAGGTCTGCATTATATTTTATTATTTATCAAAACTTCTATTGCAATCACAATCAATTCCAGAATGCATTGTGATACAATTTGAAGACTTAAGTCAGTGCCATGTTTAAGCCTACTGACTTAAGATCGCTTTTAGTTTTTGTAATTTAAGAGAAGAACAATGACAACATTTACCTTTAAGATGTTTAAAAATTTAGATTTGCAGTGAAACAACACAACATAATTGTGTCAGGAAGGCGAGCTCTGTCCTGGGTTGCTCCCTTGACCCAGTTCCAGCAGTGGGAAACAGAATTATTCTGGAAAAAATAGCATCACTGTTGCAAAATGTCTCTCACCCCATGAACAAAGATGTTACAGAACAGGAGAACTCCTTTAGTGACAGACTGTTGCATCCTAAGTGCACAAAGTAGCCTTACTGTCGTGTTTCCTCCAAGCAGCTGTAAGACTCTACAACCATCACTGTGTCCAACAAACTCAACAGTGATTACATCTGTGCTGTTTTAATTTATATACATTTTGAATAACATTCCTGCTGTTATTTTCACATCTCTGTTGTATGAACTTATTTTTAGTTTTGTTTATTAATTATTATTTTTGTATAAATCGACATTCTTCAACTTGTCTGTCACTTTTCATTGGTACATCTAAATTTTCCCATCAAAGAACAAAGCATATGTTCCTACTATTTATCTAAATGTTTTAAATCTCTTGTCACTCATTATATGGTTAACATATGATGTTAACCAAAAAAAGAAAACCTTTTCTTGTTTTTTAATAAAAAAAGAAAAGTATCTAATTTACGGTCAAATACCGGCAGTTGTGGTGGCCAGGATTTTACCATAAGAACGGTAAAATATCAAAGCTCCCAGTATTTTACGCAGCTGTTTAGAAACCCATCTCCCAGCATCCCCAGCTGCATGTTTATAAATCCAGCTAGTAAAATTCCTGTATGCAGTTCCATTTATAAGACATGAACATGCTTTTTTCTGTATCACCAGCTGCTATTTATATGTAGAATTCCTCAGTCCAGCTCCATTTATAGATATTGCCAGGTGTTTTAATATCACCAGCTGCTGTTTAAAAACCTTGATTGGAATGGCTTGTGACTGTGCATCATCCATGTCATCACCAGATGCTGCTTATGAATTCTTCTTGAAACAGTGCGCATAGCTTCTGTTTACAGATTTGTTAATAAACTATCAGGACTTTCAATATCACTGGCTGCGATTTATGCATCTCCATTAATAAGTACAGTGCAATTCAGTAATGTAAAGTGTCCACAATGAATGGCTGCTTCT